TTTACATTTTGGGTGTAGAATGATAGAAAAGAAAAACAAAAGAAAAAAACTTCATTTGTAATTGTCAAGACGCAAATGGTGATAAATATTTCCACTATTAGACTTCTACCAAGGCTACATCACCCATGAAAAAATAAAAAATTTCCCTTCCGATTACAAGTTTTCTTATTTTTATTTTTAAGTAGTACAGCTTATTAATAACATACGGTGATCATTCACAAAATATAATAGTAGGCCTAGCTCCTTGATGATGCCCGTAAAGTTTGCGCTCACATGCTTTATCTTGGAAGACTTTGCTTAATTCAAGTGATAATGTCTTGTTTACCCGAGACTTCAAGTGATGATGTCATCTTTGGTAAGGAGGAAGGAAAGAAATTAAGGAAACGGAAAGAAAATAATATTTCTTTTCTTCCACCATTTCATTTAATAGGAAGCAAGTAGAAAGGAAGGAGAAAAATGGATTTGTAGTTTTCTCTTCCCATCAAGACTAATCCTTCTAAAATTGGAAAGAAATTAAACATTATTTTTTCTTAATTAAGTTAATTATTTCATTTACAAATTGTTTTTGAAAAGAATTTACTGACAATTTTATTCATAATCTCTTTTGTTTCTCTCTCTATTTTTCATCTTTTAACAAATTCAAAAAAAAAAAAAGAAAAGCAATTTTCTTTTCCGTCCTCCATTTATTATTTCTTCAGTATATACAGACAATGTAAAATTACATAGCTTTAATTAATATCCCCAAAAAACTTTTTGTGAAAATTAATTTTTATTAATAGTTCAAGTCTTGATCCATAATGGAAGAAGACCCCCATTGACATAAGGAATCCAGCCTTGGTGAAAAGGGCGGTAGAAAATTACACCGAAAGCTGCTCAAAAAGTAATTGGCAACATAAGGTCAAAGCACTGCTCAAAAATCTAGCCTTGGTCTTTATTCTTTCAGAAGCAGAATATATAAATCTATAAGTAAAAAGAAACGTCAAAAGAGCTTTCATACTTGACCACGTTTGTGGTTTCTTTTATTGACATGTGGCTAATTTTACATATTTAAAACGAAGTCCCCACACTTGGTCACGTTTGTGGCTTTTTTTATTTATATGTGGTTAATTTAAAATGATTGATTTAAAAAAATATTGGAGAGAGTTTTTGTGGGACCGGTTGCATTTAGGATTGTCAACAGGGGAATTTTTTCTTTAGCTTCAAAAGAGGTTTTCCCCTCGTTGAGCGATCATGTTTTGGTTCACATGGAATTGAAGCTAACAGTGCTTCCATGAATTAAGGAATATATATTTTTGATAAAATAAAATATAAAAATAAAACTTTTTGGTAAATATTTGTGGATTTCATCCAAGTTTGAC